TTTATCATAATCAAAAATGAATGATGGACTGCCATCAATCGCTAATATCAGTTCTCGTTAAATAGTTACTATCAAGGCAATATACTGGTTACAATACCACTCTTTCAGAAGAAAACTTACCCATTCATTAACCGTTTATAATTTGAAATGATGATATTACGGCCATCCAAGAATAAATCGGATAAATTATTAGCCGCATGAAAAGTAAATTTGTTCTCATCTTCTATATAGTGACTGATAACATTATTAAAATCTGAAATTAATTAAACTTTAAGTTTCAAATTTAACATTGCAATCATTCAGCAGCTACTAATTTACACTTTTTCCTTTCCGAAGGAAATATAAAGTTCAGTGCCCAAGGTCTCAATGGAAAAAAAAAAAACCTTCAGTTCTTCGCAACATTTCATATTTTTGTTTGATTGACAAAAGTTCATCCACCGGTGTTTCCGACTGTATTGCTAATACAATGCGTGTCGAATACCAACTCAAGAAAACATCCTTTACTTTTTCCAGAAAATCTGCCCGTTCCGGAACAACCAGAAACTGAAGTCATCCATCAGATGAAATACTAACAGTGGATAGCAAAATTTTCATCCCTTACACTATTCCAGTTTTCTATTTCTGATAGTTTGAAAATTATGCCAAACTACAAGAACTCGACTGCAAGTTTTATAACCTCAGAAAGAGATTCATATGCTTTTTGCAAATTGACAACAACATTTTCTGGTGCCGGTTCATTTCCGTCCAAGTTTTCAATAATAACAACATTTTCTTTCCATAGCTTACGAGCCTGCAAATAAAAGCTTAATCTTATTTTTAAATTTACTCAATCAAAATCCTTTGTCTCTTATTTAATGTCATTTGGGATATGATTTACTTATTCATCTAAGACAATACATACTTTAAAAACAACAGCATTTAAGCATTATTTTATCAAAATAATTGATGAAATAATGCTTAAATGATGCTTTTTCAAGCATTATTTCATCTTATTACTCAACAAAGTTTATTTTTGAATTATTTCATCAAGATAATATTATTCTACAAAGTTTATTTTTATAATTAACCATCAAAATTTTGACAAGGTCGGCCGCACGTCTATCGGCTTTATCATATATTGCGATAGCATCAAATTCTTTGACAAGCTGTTCCTTGGCATGGGCATCCACCACTATTTTTAGGCGCTCACGAAGTTCGGCGCAAGATTTGGCACATTCTTCCAAACTGCCTTCATCACTTCAATTAAAGATAGATTTTTCGACTTGAAAAAACTATTACCCGAAAGTTACACTCTTGAATGAGAATGGACGGGGATTGCTGAATGCCGAATATTCATTCGGCATTTAATTGAATACTTAAATAACCAAACATGATAAGCATTTAGGATGGCAGAAAAATGTTCAAAAAAAGGCACCATCTGCTGCATTCAAAGCTATTTCTCATCTCCACCAACGAACTTTCTGCCTCACCAATTTCTGCTTCCACTGTTTCCAACAGGGCCTGAAAAGAAACCAATATCTTTTTCACACAGTGAAATTATTGTCCCAATTCTAAGTAGAACTAGAAGACTGCTACGATAGTTGCAACAATTCAAAACGGTCAAATACAGAAATCTTTAATGAGGACATCTGAAAATAAAACTTGAAATACCAATTATAATTCACTTTACGTTACTTCACTACTACTCAAAATCTTTAATGAGGACATCTGAAAATAAAACTTGAAATACCAATTATAATTCACTTTACGTTACTTCACTACTACTCAAAAATGGAATGTTTTTGAACCAAATCTTAAATGTAACTTTGAAGTATTTTTTAAAATGCGTAAGTTAACAGAATGAATGCAATAGTTCTAAAAGTAGCAACACACAAAAATGAATTATATTAACTAAGTAAACAAATAATTATCGGTCCAGAAAAGAAAAGCAGAAAATATCAAGTTGGATAATTAGTGAATAAAACTAATAAATAGCGATCAAAACAATGTATGACAAGAAGTATTTTTCAAGAAAAATATGCTATAAAGTAATCGCCTTGACAGATTCTTCCCTAGAATTGATCCAATTCACCAAGTCGGCTGTGCTCCAATGTCCCGAAACAGTTGAAATTTCAATCTAAAAAGTTTTATTGCAAGTATATAAAATAATGTTACAAATGCATAGACTGAGAAATGTAATGTCATTTATTTAAAAAAAGTTTTAGTTTTAGTTTAATATTTCAATTTTTCAGAAATTTTTAAAATGACTAATTTTACACTTTAGATCTTCATATAATTATATGATTATAAATAATTCTACACGTCAATGCTTTTTTTCGTATTTTTACTACATAACTTTTTCTTAAATATCGAAATTAGATCGACATTCTATTTTTTCAGACCTATATTTTTTAAAATTTTAGAAAATGAAAAATGTACCTTTGACATTGCTAACAAACGTCGCCTTCATAAATACAAATATACGGTAATAATCCAATGTTACTATAACGTACTGATTAGGATTTGATTCGCAAGATTTTCATGTCGGGTGCAGGGCTTCGTTATTTCCCAACAGGCGGCTTTTCGAAAAGGATTCCGGTTGTCTAGTCGAGAAAGATTCCGGTTGATTGGTCGAGAAAGATTCCGGTTGTTTGGTCGAGAAGGATTCCTGTTGTTTAGTCTTTGTACAGACTCGGACAGTGAATACGAGAAATTTGCAACGATCTGTCTGGTTCTCATTGTCTTGATTTATTACCTGTTTTGTTACTTCATTTATGCTAAAATTGTAAATAGTTTGAGATTCTCGAAAGACTGCATTATCACATTTCAAGACATTCGGAATGTTCCAATATATACGAAGTTTCACAGCTATTTGATTTTTTTTGTTATTTGTAGGTAGTGAGAGAGCTCAGGACTCTCTCGCATATCTCAAATGGAAAAAGATTCGACTTATGCATGTTTCATTCCGAAAATTTTTAATGCCAATCCGATTAATGATCTGATATTTCTGGAATTTTGCATCTTGCAAAAAATTTTGATTATGGAATAATTTCATTTATACTTGCTTTCTTTGAGAAATCGCAGCCTATCAGGCTGATATTTCTTGTTATTTATATTTTATGCTTTTCCGGGTTAGCTGACAGACACATAAGAATGTATTCACGCAGAAAGGAAGATAAGAAAAAATCAGTTTTCTCTACTTTTATTTAGTACATTCTATTTCGATTTTTCTTTTTGCCTTAACCATCCTTTTTAATACTCATAATAATTAATATTATAAAGCTCACACTTTTTAAAGCTATGAAACGTTCCATTTTGCATTTCTTAATTGTTTTATAGTTTACTGCTTAAAAATTCATCTGTTTGTTTGACGCAATTTTCTATTTCAACAGCTTGTTTTAATAAGTCTAGAAAGATGCGGTTGTAGATACGGCCAAAAATGGAGTATGAGACGATATCAAAAATATAGTAGCCAATACAATGGAGAAAAGTTTCAGGGATATGGTAGAAAAAATGTGTTCGGGAATTTCATGGCAAGAAATTTTAGAAAATTAATATTGAGTAAATAGTTCAGGAAATGGTTTGATCATTGACAATTGTATTCAGGAAAGATCCACAATGTCACTCCAGACCATTTTGTGACTAAATGATGCAGTAAATGTTTTGCTTTCTGGATTTTTCAAGACTTCAGTTTTCTTTGAGTTATTATGAGCAAAAAGATATTTGAATTGAAAGATCTTCGATATTTCCATACATTTCAAGCTACTTCACCGAAGAAAAATCGATATAGTTTTCCGATGGTAAGTTCTTTAATAATACTTGTACAAGAAAGTTCGTGTAGCGTATAAAATTATGTTCGTATACATATGGAACTAGACTTTATGGATTGAGTTTATGAATAGCAAGTATTTTCTGTTACATTGTATCTTCATTTACCACAGACTTTTAGTAATTACAATGATTTTTGAGTTTTAGACTGCCTCATCCAGCTCATCCATCAGTTCATCTCAATTCAATTCTTTGGTGGATCCTGTTTGGGAAACAATCGATCCAACTCCAGATTTACATGCACTTTTCAAACAGTATGATAATACTTTCTTCGATGGGAGATTAGCTGCATGTGAAGTGAAGTGGAGTTCTCGAATGACCTCGTAAGCTTTACTTGGAAATGCTAGTTGGAGATTAGGCCTAAAAATTTGTTCTTTCATAGTGTCAAACGTTGCGGTGAGAGGGCCTTGTTTTTCTCATATTGTATTTTCCATGGCAAGTGATAATGATTTTTGAAATTAAATCTATTTACAGAAGTGCGGGTTTGTGTAGTTTTGAAAGTAGGAGCAAGTTTTGTTCCATCCGACTCAGTAAGCCGCTTCTGCAATATCGACCTCGAAAAGATCTGGTGGAAACATTACTACACGAAATGATCCATGCTTTTTTATTTCTCTCCGACGGAGTCAAGTAAATTTCCCATTAAAAATTTTTATGGAATCAAGATAACAGAATTTTACAAGTCTTGAACATTTTCTATTCATTACTGTTATAATTTTCCACGTTAATTTATTATCGGTTCTGGTTTTATATATATA